CTTTCCAGTCTTCATCATATGCTGTCTTTACTTCTCAACTGCCATGGGGGTGCAACATTCTCCTTAGACTTAACATTTCCATTGTGTACTCATACACATACTCTTCCCCCTGATAAAAAAGGCTATTTTAAAATTCCTTTTCAGTGACCTGACCCAATTTCCCTGACTTGGGACATTCCCAAGGTCTCTGTATAGTTTGAGCAATTAGAATTTTGTTGCATTCTTTATCCTTGCTCTGAACCAGGGACTTTCTCTCAAGTCTAAGATTACTAACCCTTTGCCCTGTCTTCCATTAAGTCGTTCCCAGTTTTCTACTGAATTTACAGTAATGTTCTTGAAATTCTATTGCAACTATATAATGGGGCATGGTAAGTAATTGAATAGGGATGAGACTGTTTACAAATATGTGGCTGAAGAGAGACGAAAGGTCTAAATTCACAGTTAACAAAGCCAAAATAGCAGCCAGACAGAAATAGCTATGAAATAAGCCAGGATTTATTTAGATGCACCTCTGGGAGAAGCTGAGCTTTAATGTGGTGTTCCCAGAGCCACCTCCCTGTTTTCTATGCCCGGCTCCCCATCCTCCCCGACAAACTTTGTTACAAAAGAACAGAAAACTTCAGTGTCTACACTGGGCTAGAGGGGAGTCTTACTCTGACATGAATCAATATGAACAGAAGGAAAGAAGCAAGGAGATAAGCAAGTAAGGTAAAGAGGGAGGGGCAGGCAGGCACTCTTCTCAGGAACATCTATATTAAATCAGATCTGGAGAAGGGTTAGAAGGCAGGGTAAACAGTGTAACTTCTTTATCCCTTAAAATTTAGGGCGCTTGCATAATCGTCTAATTTCCTAAATAACTATGCACTTGATGGTGGGCTCCATCGGTGGTGAAAGGCAAATATTAATACAAATTTCAAGCAGGAATACATCCAACACAGAAAAACTACTCAATCCACCAACACTACTTTCTGCCCACCTTGAAGGGTGGATGCCCCTCTTTCTTCTTAATGCAATTTTTAATTCATCAGACACACTCCTCATTCCAACTCTGATCAACTGTGCTCCTCTCCCTGTTCTCAGCATCAGCTGCCTCACACCGCCTTCTTTCCCCAACTTGCTACAACGACTCTGGTCCCAATACTGACGGCTGCCTCCCCACCCCGCACCCCCATCACTGGTCAACTAATTCCATTAATCCAATTAATCCTCCCACTCAAGGATTCCCCAGTATTAAAGTCCTTCACACCCTCACACGAGTCATACTTGGTAACATCTTTATACTGACCCCTCAGTGACCCCCACAATTACTGCCTGCCATCCATTCTTTCCTCACGCCACCCCTTTCTGGAAGCTGCCTTCTCTCCGCCGCAACCCATTCCTCAAGCTACCCCTACCCCCTGATTCCAGCCCCCCTCCTCCTGGCGCAGATCCCCTCCACCTTGATCCTCTCCGCTGTACGACTCCGCTCCTCCACCCCCCCGCAGGACCCCCTCTTCCTCACGCAGACCCCCATACACCTATCTTCTCTCTCACCGACCCCCTCCTCGGTCCTCTCCTCGCACTGCTCCGGGTCACGAATACCGCCCTCCCATCCCGACTGCACTAGCCTTTGCCCGCCCCCGCCTTCGCCGCCTCACTCTCCCTGCACTGAAACTGAGGCCTCTCCGCAGGGCCTCTTCCCAAAGCCGAGCCTACCCGGAACGAACCCCAGCCCTGAGAACCCACCGAGTCCACTCTACCGCGCCCACCCCCTCCGATACCGCCCCCAGCCCCAACCACTCCCCCACCGCCCCCGGCCCTCACTCACCCGCCTCCCTCTGCTCGCGCAGCCGAACCTGCCGGCAGCGACACCTGACAGCAGCCCAATCAAAGCGCGACTTCTTTGCGGTGCCACCAATCGGCAGAGGGCGCGCACCGGCAACAGAGTCAGGCTGCGTTGGCCGGCGCTTCTGCGCGGAGGAGCGTGACTCCTAGTGGCTCTGGGAGGAAATGCAACCTGGTGCTCCCTTCCTTTGATTTCTTACTGTGTCGCCGAAGTCCAGATGCTTGGTCTAGACAGAGGCGTTCCATGAGGCGACGGGGTGGGTGGGAAGCCTGATGCTGAAGAAGAGCAAGAGGCAGATTTTGTGCCATTGCTGCTCCTTCAGGGCAAAACCAGGTCTTCCGTTTGTCTTATAAAACAAAACAGGGCATGATATATGTACAGATCCAATAAATAAAGGTTGAAAATGTTAAGAGATGTAAAGAGGGGTAGTGTGATAGGGAGACTGTAGAGAAAAACAGACAAGGAGAGAAGCAGATCAGAAAGTTAAGGGAAGGAACAGAGAGACATTTACAGAGGCAAGAAAATGGTTGGACATGGAACTCTAGACAAATCGATTCCTATCTCCGCAGCCTGCTTTTTCTCTACCCTCCAGACAAAGCTGGATTTGAATCCTGGCCTTACCTTTAATAGCTGTGCAGGCTTCAGTAAGTCACTTAACTTCTCCAAGCATTTACTTTTCTCATCCATAAAACTGGGATTAAAAACTTAATTAAAGCCAGTTGCGGTGGCTCATGCCTGTAATCCCAGCACTTTAGGAGATCAAGGCAGGCAGACTGCTTGAGTGCAGGAGTTCAAGACCAGCCTGGGCAACATGATGAAACCCTGTCTCTACAAGAAATGCAAAAACTAGCCAGGCATGGTGGCAAATACCTGTGGTCCCAGCTACTCATGAGGCTGAGGTAGGAGGATCATTTGAGCCTGGGAGATGGGGGTTGCAGTGAGCCAAGGTCACCTCACTACACTCCAGTCTGGGTGACGGAGCAAGACCCTGTATCAAACAACAACAACAACACACCTAACTTAAAGGGTACTGATAATACGAAAGCATTATGTATTGAATATGTTTGTATTGCTCTTATTATTATCCTTGCATCTTCACTTGGTGATCAAGACAGTCATTCCCTGGTTCTTCTCTGCAACATTAGGAGTCTTGACACTTTTCCAGTCTTGCCTCATTGTACTGACCCCCGCACCCCCGCCAAGGCATTCTGAATGGACATAGAGGTGATTCTAAGAGCTGGAATAGATGATTCCAAGAGGAATAGATGTCTCCCTGGTTCATGCTTAGGCTAATACCTCCTCCACCACTCTAGCCCTTCAAACCAGCTAGTATAGCATCTTCCAGGTATTTAACTTCTCTTACCAGCCCCCTGAAAATGTAGACTTTGTCCCTTGTAATCCACTGGAACAATCCAATTTAACTCAATGAAATAATACATATAAAAGTTTCTTGTAATTGTAAAGTGCTTTAAAAACATTAAATACTGGCCAGGTGCAGTGGCTCATGCCTGTAATCCCAGCACTTTGGGAGGTCGAGGCAGGTGGTTCACAAGGTCAGGAGATCAAGACCATCTTAGCCAAAATGGTGAAACCCCATGTCTACTAAAAATACAAAAAATTAGCCAGGTGTGGTGGTGTGTACCTATAGTCCCAGCTGCTTGGGAGGCTGAGGCAGGGGAATTGCTTGAACCCAGGAGGCGGAGGTTGCAGTGAACCAAGATTGCGCCACTGTACTCCACCCTGGTGACAGAGCAAGTCGCCATCTCAAAAA